ACTCTTTCCATACTGTGAACTCCAGTCCTCTACTGGGGTGAAGGACAATCATCAACCAGTGTACACGGAGCAGGTCTGAAGGTCTAACTTCAAACAGGCTGACAGACTTTTAGCTGACACTTCTGTGTTACCCCCTTGTTACAATACCCAGTACCTCTGATTCCTGAGGATATTTGAGGAGCTAGAGGACAGATGAGGTGGCTTCCAAGCTTTCCCCTCCCCTGGCTGCAGTTTCAGCTCTCTTTAGGCTGCCATATCAGTTGTCCTTGCTATTTTCTCCTGTCCTATTCCCTTTGCCCTTGTGAGTTTATACCCCCTTTAAAAAATTCACTCTTTAGTCATGTTAGGAGAATACAGAGGTGCAGGAAGAAGTGTAGGTGTTCTGTTAGCCATCCCTTACCCAGAGTCCAGTGTGTGCTTTCCAAACTGCTCACCATCCATTATTGCCCCTCCGTCTTGTAACCTCCCCCCACCTTGAGGTAATCTTTCCTACTAAAAAGTGGAAAAGGCCTGAAAGGATTTACAGTGAAAAGCCAGTTTCTTTCCCACCATTTTCCCATAAACCTCGTTTCCTCCCAGGAGGGAGCTACTGGTCTTATATGCCTTCTGGACATACGAGTATATGAATCGATACATAAGCCATGTAAATAGACATTTAACATGTTAAACATACACAGTGGCCCATTCTGTACTCTGTTCTTCCCTTTTTTCTCTTAACTGTGTTTCAATATCAGTACATAGAGATCATCCCCATTTTCTGTCATTGTAGGGCAATGTTCCATATTCTTTTTGGGGTGCCAGACTTCTTGGATAGCTAATAAAATAGGGACTGTAACCTGCTCTGCTATCCTTTAAAATGTGGCTTTTGTCCTCATAGCCACAAAATGGCTGCTTGGCTGCTAAGCATCACACACACAGAGAAAAAGGGAAGAAAGGAGAGGCAAAATGGTGAGTGTCAGTTGGTCTGTCCCTTTTCATCAGGAGAACGTTAGCTTGCCTAGATCTCCCATCCATTAGACTTAGGTTTATATCTCATCGGCCAAAACTGGATCACATGACCACTGCTGTGAGGGAGTCTGATGGAGAGAAGTATGTTTTTTTTTTGTTTGTTTGTGTTTTTTTGTCCTCTTTGAGACCGGCCGCACCGCACTCAGCCAGTGAGCGCTGTGAGAGCACCGGTCATCCCTATATAGGATCCGAACCCGCGGCGGGAGCGCCGCCCTCTCCCGAGTGCGCCACAGGCTCGGCCCTGAGAGGTATGTTTTTAACTGGACAAATTGCATACTTTACCAAAATGAGGTTTCTGTTAGTAGAGGAAATGAGAGAACAGATATTAGACTTCTGAAGTAGTGCAGGCTCCAGGGAAAATGAGGCAATGTGAATCTACCATTGCTCTCACCTGAAGTAGGTAAGTACACAGCCTCCAGCTTTTGCATGCAGTACCAAATGGTCATGAAGCTCATATGCATAGGGTTAGGGTTAGGAGGCTCATCTGCAGAACAGTGAATTTTGGTTAAGGTGAAGAATATGTGTAACTAGAAGAGTAGCTACAGCTTTCTGTTAGCTCCTGCTATTCACATATGTAGCTAATTTAGGAGATGGATAAGAATCTAGGACAACTTCAGCCTCATCTGAGATCCCTTATTATTGATTTATTTTTTAAAAAAGATGACCAGTAAGGGGATCTTAACCCTTGACTTGGTGTTGTCAGCACCATGCTCTCCCAAGTGAGCCACAGGCCGGCCTGAGATCGCTCTTTAGTTTATTCCCTCCAGAGGAAAGAGATTATGAAAAGAAAATGTGAATCATTCTGCCTAATGAGCAATAAAGAACAGTGGGGGAATCAAGATATGATAGATCAAATTGCTGTTAACCAAATATTTTGATTTTTCTCCTCCTGGCGCCCCCTCCCATGGAAGGATTCTATATAACCTCCCTGCTGAATTTGGGCTTGGCCGTGTAGCTCACTGTGGCCAACGAAAGGTGGGTGGAAGTGACATGTATCACAGCAAGTGGTCCACTCTGGGTGAACAGCAATGTACCAGATAAAGACTGCTGTCTCAAACCATGTCATGGAATGGGGTCAACATGGAGCAGAGCCATGGCTGACCCAAACATGCACAGTGAACAAGAAATGAGCCTTTGAAATCGGGAATTGTTTGTTATTGCAGCAAAACCTAGCTTATCCTGCCAGAGTCATGAGATTAGAAAGCAGAAAGGAAAGGAGTAAAGTTTGTCAATTTGGAAAACCCTGAGACCATGCTGAGAAATAGAGGTCTATGCCTGGCATTTTCAAATGTCCACAACACAGCTAAAAACTAAGAAGCAGGCAAAAGTGGCTTCTGAACATCTGAAACAAGTGACACAATTTCCATGCACTCTATCTCCTGAAAATAACACGTGAGTCCCTCAGGCCCTCGTTCAAAACTACTTATGACGCATAATCTAAGCTTGGTTATCTGTCTTCCTGACCCACAGCAGACCTGAAGGCTGGTGGAAAGGGAAGGCACACTGATATCAGCACTAGTGACAGTGAAGGCCTGACAGCAGAGACAATGCAAAACCATAAAGGACCAAAAAACATTACAGTCTAAGGAGGGCCACAGATCCTCAAGCGAAAGATAACTGGTGCTGTTAACGATGACAGAGATATCATGAAACGGATAACAGCATCATCAGAAAACACAGGAACATTACGCACTGCTAACTCTTTCAGTGATTCTAAAAGATGACCCATGGGTAGCATCAGAGCAGGGACACAAATATAGCTTTTAAAAACACATTTAACATAATTTTATATTTGTAAAATGCCTATTATTTTCATTACCCGGATTATAAAGAGTAGAAAATTGTAAATTCTTCTTGGTTGGAAAGGTACACAAAAAATTCTCTACCTCAGGACAGTCTACCTTTTAAGTATCAATGCTTCTCACAAAGGGAAATGCCCACAGTGGGATATCAGGATAATCAGAAAAGGGAAGACGATGATTAAAAAGGGGGAAACTTTTAAATGCTTTTTTTACAGCATTTTGTCCACAGCATTGTCTGATGTGGTCCTCAATGCACATAGAGAAAATATTTAAGACAATTATATTGTGAACAGGGGAAGGTAAAGCAGCGGTGGTTACACGAATCTACACGTTATAAAATGTAACGGAACTATACACACACATTGTACCAAGGTCAATTTCTTGGTTTTGATTTTGTACCACAGTTATAAACTACTGAGGGGAAACTGGGTGAAGTGAGTACACAGGATTTGTCTGTACTATTTTTGCAACTTCTTATGAATCCATACTTATTTCAAAAAAAAAAAAATTTTTTAACATTTTAATATTTTTTAAAAAGTATTCTGTCCAAAACCTCTAACAACATATTTGATGTGTAAAAAGGTAACCTTTAATTACCTGGAAACACTATTTAAGTTCTCACCCCATGAACTAGGGCTCAGGGAAGGCAGCCCTGTCCCCAGCTCAAGACACCTCCTGATTGGTATGAGACTATTAGAGTTATCTCATTCCCCAGATTAGCTTTGGAGTCAACTCACAGACCTCTTCTAGCAAGTGAGAAGTGCAAGAAGATCTTCAGGGGGAGATAGAGATAGAGAGGAGAAAAGACACCCTCTTAAAAAAAAAAAAGACAAGGAAGATGAGTCATTTCTGTCAGATGTTGTTATGTCAGGACTTGACACCTGGAACTACAGAAACTGAGAGATGCTAGATCAGGGCTGGGAAAGGGGAAAACAGGGAAGACTCTGGGTACTACATGACATCACTGAGCCACTGAATCACTGACACTGGAGGCGTCTATGTCGGTTAGGAATACTTGCAACTGTCAGTCACAGAAAGCCTAATTGCTGGGACTTTAGAGGTTTAATTTTCCAACAGGGAGAGTGGAGGTGGCTGGTTGCTGGTTTTGATTTAGCTATTTAAGACCATCAGCTCCATCTAAGTGATTTTCTATATTTGGTAGTTCTGTAGGTCTTCTCTCCACTATGAGTCCTCATATACGCAGGAAGACCCAAGATCTTATTAAAAGCTTTACAACATTCATTAGAATGTATCAAGTTCTCACAAATGATTTCTGAGGGGGGATTTTCTCAGATAATATTCACATTGATTTTCTTCAAAAGGATATTTGTTAATAAGCTGTGGATAAACTTCCCACATTCTTTATAGGGTTTCCCTCCTCTTGACTATATAGTAAGGAATACCGTGATAGAAAGATTTACCACTTCCCGTTTTGTGTGTAGAATATATATTCTCTTAGAGTTCTTGTATAATGAATAAACTGAATGTTCTGGCAGATAGTTTTTCCACAGTTTTTTTTTTTTTTTAAAAGATGACCGGTAAGGGGATCTCAACCCTTGGCTTGGTGTTGTCAGCACCACGCTCAGCCAGTGAGTAAACTGGCCATCCCTATATAGGATCCGAACCCGTGGCCTTGGTGTTATCAGCACCGCACTCTCACGAGTGAGCCACGGGCCAGCCTCACAGTTCTTGTTTTTACAAGCTCTCTAACTTTCTTGGCCTTTCTGAACATTGTTGAAAACTAAATCGTGTTTGTGGAAATACTTCCTGGTGATTAGCATATGGAGTGGAAGGAGGTTGGAGCATGGACTAGTTTCGCCTATATTCGTTATTTTCAGTTTCTCTCCTGCTTAAGTGCTTTGTTTTGAATGAACACCATTTTCTACAAATATCTTGGCTATTCTGGTAGTTTTTTTTTTTGTTTTCCTTTTTGTCTTTTACTGACCGGCAATGGATCGCAACCCTCAGTGTCGCGCCCGTACCGGACCGGGACCGGCAACGGGATCGCAACCCTCGGTGTTGCTCCCGCACCTCGCTCAGCCAGTGAGTGGGAACCGGTCTCTATGTGGGATCCGAACCCTCGGCGGGAGCGCCGCCGCGCTCTCAAGCGGCGCACTGTAGCAGTGCGCCACCGGGCCGGCCCAATTCTGGTAGTTTTTTAACTGGCCCTTAAAATTCAAGATGACCCCTAATGAGGACGAGGAGCCATTTCTGGTGCATGTTTCCATTTTCATACTAGGGGATAGTTGTTCCTCAAATATGCTCTCCTTTGAAATTGACTCTTTCCTTCAAAAGGAAGTTTCCCATAGTAAAAATATTTCAGAATACTTCTGAATGCTTTGGGGGAAAGCATGAGGGTGGAACTGGTGGAATGAAGTTTACAATTGGGTATGAAAGAGATACATGGAACAGAAGTCTTTTCCACCCACTTCCAGGTTCTCCTCACTTCCATGGTCCCAACAGACACCAACATCTTTTGGAAGCATCCAGTGCTTGAGCTCTGCTGGTACATCCCTATGTCACAATCCTTCAAGGACCATGATGACAGAAAGGCAGTATGGGTCACTTCCCATAACAAAGGGACTGGGGTCAGGAAGGAGGGAGTTTTCCTGGTGCTATCACTCACTAGTTCTTTCCCTTTAGACAAGTAACTGAGTTCCTCCTTCAAGTCTCAACAATGTAGAGATCGTCGTTTGCTTTGTGGGGTGGCCTCACCATGGTGCCTGGTACCCGCAGTCTCCAGTGTCACGTCTTGATCCAGGATCCTATGAGCAGGGCCCAGTAGTTCCCACTCCTGGCTCACTAAGCTCTTGTTGTTACACATTAACAAGCTTAATATTTATTTACTTATATTGTAAATATTTATTGTACTTTATTGAAAGCGTACTTTCAATAAAGATACGCTTATTGAACGTGCTTAATAAAAACATGCTTTACTGGGGGTAAGGTTTGGGCAGAAATCTGAAATGGGTTGAGACCACAAGGATATGAAGGGAATAATTTTGAGTTCCATTTTCTTGCTGTAGACCTTCAAGGAATATAGAAGTATAAGGAGTAAAAAGAGAAAATGCCTTACTATGCCTCACACTCCCTTTCCTTTCCCAAGGTAATTCCCCTATATGGGAAATCTTTCCAGACATCAGACATACACACATACCTACGTAAGTGTGTATTTCCATAGATACATATATGTGGTAGGCAAAGTAATCACCCCCAGCCCCTAATCCCCAGAACCTGTGAATGTTATTTTAAATGGCAAGAGGACTCTGCAGATATGATTAAGATTTCAGACCTTGAGATGGGGACAGTATAATCCAGGTGGCTCTGTCTAATCACATGATTCACTGAAAGTGGAGAACTTGTCCCAGCTGTAGTCAGAGATGCGATGATGGATGGAGATCCATTGAGGGAGATGCAACCTAGATAGCTTTAAAGGTGAAGGATGGGGCCATGAGCCAAGGAGTGTAGGTAGCCTCTAGAAGCTGAAAAAGGCATACAGATTCTGCTGTAGAGCCTCCAGAAGGAGTGCAGCCCAGTTGACACTTTGATTTTAGCCCAGTAATATCTTTGTCAGACTTATGACCTGCAGAACTGCAAGATAATTTGTTATTTTTTAGCCACTAAGTTTGTAGTAATTTGTTACAGCAATATAGAGTACACACACACACACACACAGTTTTGTCAGTTTGTCACAAGTGAAAGTATTCACTAGCACTAGTGCTAAGTTTTTATAAGACAGCAGTTTAAAATATTTCACCTTGAATTTCCTTGATTTCTTGTAAGATTGAACATATTTTCAAATTTAATTGTCCTTTTGTATTTCTTCATATGCAAATAGCCTGTGTTTATCTTTTGCCCATTTTTGTTCTGTTTCCCTTGTTGATTTGTAGGTTCTCTTTATATTCTGAGGATGTTGTTTGTTATATAGGTTACAAATATTTTCTCCCATTCTTGTCTTTTAACTTGTAATATAAAAACTAAAGGTTTTTCTGACAATCTTTTTATGACTTCAAGGTTTGATATTCTTAAGAAGATATTCCTATCACAAAGTTGTAAAACTGCTTTATGTCTCCTTTTATTATTTGTATAATTTTTATTATTTTTTATTTTTTTTAAAGATGACCAGTAAGGGGATCTCAACCCTTGTCTTGGTGTTGTCAGCACCACGCTCAGCCAGTGAGCCAACTGGCCATCCCTATATAGGATCCGAACCTGTGGCCTTGGTGTTATCAGCACCACACTCTCCCTCATGGGGAAGAAGGTGTGGGTTTGGTGCTAGCTGGTCTTTAAGCCTCTTAGACTTTGCTAACATACCTTTTTTTTTTTTTTTTTAACAAAAAGAGAGCAGACCTTTTGGAGCCAACAATATCTGGCTAAAAACAAGTAATATTATTTTGTTTTAACCGAATATATTTAACTCCTGTATTTTGGCAAGTAACCAGAAGACCCCTTTTAAATTAGTTTCGAGTTTTCACAAGTGAGTGGATTTAAAGAAATTATTTAGGAAATAAGACTGGACATGGTAAAATCACAAGGATGGGAGCGGAATCCTAGCTTAGGAAACAATTCTCCAGCAGTCCCTGCCAGGCATGCCCTTAGGGGCATGGTCCCGGGCAGAATTCTTCTCCGCTCTTTCAAGTTTCTGCTTATGGCGCCAACCCCGTCCCCGCTGAGCGCCCCCACCTCCATCACCACTACCAATGGCTGAATGAAGCACAACTCGATCCTTCAGCAATCGTCCCTGGCTTGTGTCAGGCGGGCACCGTGCGCAAGGGAAGCTCAGAAGGAGAAGCAATGGCCACACAAGGCCTCCAGGACGAGGTGAATGCCGGGGTCCCTTCCCTGAAGGCGTGGGTGGGTGAGTGGGTCGAGATCACAGTCCCTCAAGGTGAACAGTCTCTGCCACTCACGTGTGGCTGGAAGTCCGCACCCCGTAGCCAGTCTTGTCTAGCTGAGCCTGGAAAGGACAGGGGGGTGGGAGGTGGGAATGGGGTAGATCCTGGCTGCAGCCTCCAGACTAACCCGCGCCTAGGACCCCCAAGCCCTCGATGCGCCCCCGGGACCCCCAGCGCAGTCTGTCTCCCCCTCGGCCTCCCCAACTTAGCCCGAAGACCACCCGCCCTGCGCCCCTTCTCCTCACAGCCCGGAGAACCCAGACTCAGCTGGAGACCCCCCTCTTCCCTCCGACCCCGGGGACGGACTCCCAGTTCCCCTTCCCGCCGGAGGAAGCACCAAGTCCGGCTTGACGTCCCCCTTACCTCCCCGAAGCTCCAGTCTCTCACCTCTCTCCCCTCCCTCTTCTCCTGGCCCTGGACCAGGGACCCTCCCCTCCTCCCAGGGCGCGGAACCGAGCAAGGAGCCGCTGATTGGACAGGACAAGGAGCTGATTGGGTGAGGCTGGGCGCTGATTGGGCAAAGCAAGTTGATTGTGTGGACGAAGCGTGCCCCTGATTGGGCAACGTACGTCGCGGGCTTCCAGCGAGGAGCCAGCCTTGTGGCGTCACAATTTACCGCGGGTCTTCACGAAGCCGCCGGCAAGGCAGCGGGCGGGGTTGGCGCGTCTCAGGGTTGGTAGTGTGGGGTGACTCTTACGGAGAGAAGGGTAAGAGGCCTTCTGGAGCCGTGGGCCCTGGTAGGGCACGACTTCACCAATTAGTCCCTCTGCAAACGTCCCCTGTGGGTCATCCTCCCTTGGGGCTCTGGTCAGCCTCCTCCCGCACCGGCAGCCTTGGAGGCACTTCGCAGCGCAAACCACCGAGGCAGGTGGAGACCCCGGCTTGGCAACCGCACAAGAAAGCCACACCGGAGACCTGTTAAATGATATGGTACTTTCCTCGCACGGGTCGTGATGCTAGAGATGCTTTAATGGCCTGGAGAATTCTCACGGCAGTGAAGGTGAATCGCGAGTCGTTAGGGAAAAGTTGTAAAATCATACTTAGTGTCAAATACTAAAAACTCGAGTGTGGTTTTGAGAAAAGATTGAAGCCACAATATTGGAAGATAACTACTTTTGTGTGGTAGAAGTGTCAGTGATTTTTTAAAAATCAAGTCTTCGACTTTGTATGCAGAAGAAAAATACATAAATACATAAATATGTTGTAAAATTATCTCTCAATGACTGGAAATCCAAGAGGTTTTAGTAAAACCTACTGAAATAAATCAGAATTTGTTCAACTGGCTAGATCCAAGATATATAATAATCTCTGTAGTAAAAATCAGCCGTAAAGGGACAAAGGGGGAAAAATGACTTTTGAATCCTTCTTGGTAAATAATAAAGACACGCTTACTGAACAAATAAGCGCATGTGCTGGAATTAACCCATGTACCTCCTGATTGGTGTACTGGACATATGGAACATGGACCTTCAAAGCATTAATGTTTTCTGAAGATCACAGATCCAATGAGGGCCAGAGCCAGGTGTGAATCCACATCTGACATTCTTATCCAGCATGTCAGCTCCCACACATGCAGTCCCTCCCTGCTTTCCTCTTCCTGTTTTGGATGCACAGTAATGGTAAAAGCTGGTATACCCAGAGAGGGCCACTAAGCTCTCTTGCCTTCCCTAACCTGCTATTCTCCTTTCAAGAGATGGAATTTAACTCCCTTCCCATTGAATCCGGGCTGGTCTTAGTTACTGGATTGTAAAGGACAGAATGTGACCTAGGTGACACAGTGTGACCCCTAGGCTAAGTCAGGAAAGACTGTGCTGCTTCTGCCTGGTCCTTTTGGAACCCTGGCTCTCTGTTCGGTACCTCTTGGAACCCAAGCCACCTCAGCCCAGGTCCCAGCCATGAGATGAAGATGCTACCTTCAAATGGGCCTTCTGGCCCCAGCTGTTCCAAACCCCAACCTTTTCAGTCATCCTAGCTGAGGCCCCAGAAGTCATGCAACAGAGATGAGCTACTGCTATGGTTCCCTCTGAATTTCTCACCTACAGAATCCAGGAGCATAAATTGGCTGTAGCATCGTCACTAAGTTTTGGGGCTGCTTGTTACACAGTACATCTAGGCAAACCACATTCCTCAGTCCCTCAGGTTGGCCTTGCACCTTCTAGTCCTAATTTTGTTTAATCTCTCCCATAGCCTAGAATGTTCTTCCCCTCCCATCTGCTCCTATCTCTGTCATCTCCCCAGACCTAGCTCAAATTATTGCTTCAGTTCCTGCAGCCATCACCAAGGCCTTCAACTAGCTCCTTAGTCTAGGATTTGGGACCTGGGAGTAAGAGGTTACAGCATCTCCAGACCTAGCTCAAATTATTGCTTCAGTTCCTGCAGCCATCAACAAGGCCTTCAACTAGCTCCTTAGTCTAGGATTTGGGACCTGGGAGTAAGAGGTTACAGCATTCTGATCTTAAGGGTTCACACTCCTTGGTGTATTGAGAGGCAATATTGTAGAGGTCTGAACAACTCAGGAGGCTACCAGCTGACACATCCCTAGGCAAGTTCTTCAACCCCAGATGTTCTCATCTCTTGAAGAAGTTAACACGGGCCCTGTTGTTGAAATGATTAAAAGCAATGTAGCAGCTATAAGCCCTGTGCCCGACATGCGAAAAGCATAGGGCTGCTGGTGTCCCATCCTCATTCTCCAGGCATGTAGCCTCATATCTACTCTAGTTCTGTCTCCAAGGGTTGTTCATTTCTTCAGAGAAAGGAGTGAGGTACAGTCATGCCTTCTTGGCATGACCCCAAGGGCTGTTGAAAAGGCCATGAGAGCAGCACTCAACCCATGCCTGTTAAACCTTTTTTTTTTTTTTTTGGTGGCTGGCCAGTGCAGGGTTCCCAACCCTTGAGCTAGGTGTTATCAGCACCATGCTCTAGCCCAGTGACTAAGTGGCCAGCCCAAGTTGTAATTTTTTTTTTTTTTGGCAGTTGGCCAGTGTAGGAATCTAAGCCTTTGACCTTGGTGTGACAACACCATGCTCTAGCCAACTAACGGGCAGCCCTTTTTTTCTTTGGTGGCTGGATGGTATGGGGGATACCTGTATTTTTGATCCAGTTTTAGAATGTTTTTAAATGTTATGGAGAACTCGAGAGCAAAGTTGAAGCCGAGGAGCAAGAGATGGAATGGGTGGTGTGGTATAGGCTGTGTAACCTGAAGAATATGAAATGTGTGCATGAAAGACATGCCCTTGTACTGCACTGTCTTGTTGCTTGACTCAGTTATGGGCACCTGGCTAGAGCAGTTCCCTCCCTTGTGGGAGTCCCACGCTTGCCTGGGATTTCCAGTCCTCTGGGCCTACAATGGTTCCTTCCTGTAGGTTTTCCTTCTCTAACCATACTATCATGATACCCCAAGGAGCAGAATGACCAGCTCAACCCAACTCATGTGAAATCTTAGACCCAAGGTGCTGGGACTTTATACAGAATCTGCTAGAACTGACAATCGCTTTCCCTTTGTTTTAATGTTGCTTATTTAAAATATCAAATCATTAAAGGTATTTAATTAAATAGGAAGGAAACACATAGATTCTACACAAATATAGTTTATTTATCCACATTCTCATTTAGTCCTTGTCCAAACACATAAATACTTTATCATGAATATAATATATGCAGTTTATTTGGTACCCAGCTTTTGAAATTTATTATAAGCATTTTCAGGTTTTTTTTTTTTTTTTTTTTCAAGTAAAAGATGCCGCTTATCCCTCGTTTCTTTTTTTTTTTTTTTTCTTTTTTGTCTTTTTTCGTGTCCGGCAATGGATCGCAACCCTCAGTGTCGCGCCCGTACCGGACCGGGACCGGCAATGGGATCGCAACCCTCGGTGTTGCGGCCGCACCTCGCTCAGCCAGTGAGCGGGAACTGGTCTGTATGTGGTATCCGAACCCTTGGCAGGAGCGCCACTGTGCTCCCAAGCGGCGCACTGTAGCAGTGCACCACCAGGCCGGCCCTTCAGATTTCTTTAATAGCACTTTTAATAACCAAACGAATGAACAAACAGTAACAGCAAATCAACTGACAGGAAAATTAAATTTTTTCCAATCAATATACAAGGGGACTTTAATAAGTTTGCAGAAAGATGGAATTAAAAGATAAAAATAAAATTTACACTTCCTTTTTCAACATAAGCTCCATCAAATTCAAGACACTTTTGTAAGTGATGATACCACCCATTTAGTCCATCTTTAAAAAACTGAGGGTCCTGGGAATTTAACCATATCAATGCAGTCTTTTTTTTATATTGTGAAGAAAAATGGGTGCCCTTTCAAGTTTTTTGTGTGTGTGTGTGACTGGTAAGGGGATTGGAACCTTTGGCTTGGCTTGGTGTTGCCCACACCATGCTCAGTGAGTGCACTGGCCATCCCTATATAGGATCCGAACCTGCGGCCTTGGCGTTCCCAGCGCCACACTCTCCCGAGTGAGCCACGGGGTTGGCCTTTTTTTTTTTTTTTGTAAAGATGACCGGTAAGGGGATCTTAACCCCTGACTTGGGAGAGTGTGGTGCTGACACCACCAAGTGAGCAACTGGCCATCACTATATAGGGATCTGAACCTGTGGCTTTGGCACTATCAGCACCATGGTCTCCCAAGTGAGCCACAGGCTGGCCCCCCTTTCAAGATTTTTTTGAGATTAGGAAACAAAGTCAGAAGGAGCCAGATGAGGACTGGAAGGTGAAGACCTAATAATTTCCCATTGAAATCCTTGCAAAATTGCCCTTGTTTGATGAGAGGAATGAGAAGGAACATTGCCATCGTAAAGGTCTCTCTGGTGAAGCTTTCCTAGGAGTTTTCCCGCTAACACTTAACTTTCTAAAAACACTCTCACAATAAGCATATGGTTATCATTCTTTGGCCCTCCAGAAAGTCAACAAGCAAAATGCCTTGAGTAGCCCAAAAAACTACTGCCATGACCTCTGCTCTTGACCAGTCAGCTTTTGCCTTGACTGTACCACTTCTACCTCTTGGTTTGATTGTGCTTTGTCTTCAGGATTGTACTGGTAAAGCCATTTTTCACCTACTGTTGCAATTCTTTGAAGAAATGCTTCATGATCTTGACCCCATTTGTTTAAAATTTCTACTGAAAGCTACTTATGTCTGCAGCTGATCTAGGTGCAACAGTTTTGACATGGATCGAGTGGAAAGTTTGCTCAACTCTAAGTTTTTAGTCAGAACTGTGCAAGCTGAACCAATTGAGATGTCTATGATGTTGGCTACCATTTCTGCTATTAATCGTTGGTCCTCTTCAATTAGGTCAGAGACAAGATTTTTTCCTCAGAAATTGATGTGGATGGTCTACCACCGCAGGCTTCATCTTCAACATTGTGGAGGATATTGACATTAATGAGATAGAAATAAAACACATGTATTTCGCAGGACCAAAGCCTGTAGTTTAGAGGATCAAAGTCCTTAGTCTAGGCCTAAGTCTGTAGCTTAGATGGACAAAGCCTGTAGTGTAGAGTACCAAAGTCCTGTAGTTTAGGAGGCCAGAGCCTCTACCTTAGGGGGCCAAAGCCCAACCCTTTAGGAAAACACATAGAAATGATAAAATTAAGAAAGACCAGAAAACTTTCACAGGACTAAAGCCTTTGATGTAAGTAAGAGAACTGAAGCACAGCATAAAGTGATTGCTCTAGGGGCAGTTGCCCTTGGCGCAGCTAAACCTAAACACTGGGAAAGTATGTAAGCTAAAATCTACAAGCATATTCTGCTGGTTAGTGCTTGGGGGACGTTACACATCTTGCCATAAGCTGTTTCTCTGAGTTTCTTGCGAGAGGTGACAACATCATTCCATCTCTTCTTAAATCAAGTTATACAGTTGTAAACAGCCATTTCTTTAGGGCACTGTCCCCACTAGTGCTTGGGGGACGTTACACATCTTGCCATAAGCTGTTTCTCTGAGTTTCTTGCGAGAGGTGACAACATCATTTCATCTCTTCTTAAATCAAGTTATACAGTTGTAAACAGCCATTTCTTTAGGGCACTGTCCCCACTGATGTAAAGCATCAATGATTTCATCATTCTTCCACCCAAGCTTCATCATAAATTTGATGTTTGTTCTTGCTTCAATTTTAGCAGAATTCATGTTGCTCTAATAGGGGCTCTTTTCAAACTGATGTATTTTCATTCTTAGTGTCTCAAACTAGATCCTGTTCAGGCATGTTATAACAAGTTAGTACAAGTTTATTTTGGTGCAAAGGAATTTTGCAATCCATGCAGTTTTTTCATAATACGCATTTTCCAGGGACTTGCTGAAGACCTCTTGTATTCATTAACAACTACTCCTAACAAGTTTTACTTACTCATTAAGTGCTGGGCAGTCTCCGTTTGTCCTTTGGCTTCAGGAACATCCTCACTTAATGCTTCCCTTCCACATTCAGTCCCAAATCCCAACCAGGCCAATGCACGTTACTCTGCAGGATCAAGTTGAAAACGCAGTATTTCTTCAGCTGGCTTGAGGGCTAAGAGGTTGGGTGTTTCTTCATGCGCTTCGTCCCACTATGTGTTCTCTGATGCCCGATAAGGTGTGAGCTTTGGGTGAAGGCCTTTCCGCATTTGTTGCACATGTATGGGCGCTCCCCAGTGTGAGTTCTCTGATGCCTGATGAGGTGGGAGCTCTGGCGGAAGGCTTTTCCGCAGTCCTGACACTGGTAGGGCTTAGCTCCAGTGTGAGTCCTTAGGTGCTGGGAGATGGCTGAGCGATCATTGAAGGTTCTCCCACACACTCTACATTCAAAGGGTCTCTCTCCACTGTGAACTCTTAGATGCTGAGTGAGGGAAGAGCTCTGAACAAATGCTTTCCCACAGTTCTGACATACATAAGGCTTCTCTCCTGTGTGGATTTTTTTATGTACAGAAAAGTATCTTGGGTTCCGGAACATTTTACCACATTCACTGCATCGGCAAGCTTGGCTCCCCTTGTGAATTCTTATGAATGTAATCTGATGAGCACTCCGACCGAAGGTTTTCCTATAACCATTCTTCTCCCTGGCCTTTTCCCTTTCACAGCTCTTCTGATGAATTTTTGCATGTGAATTATGTGTCATGTTTTTAACCCGTGAACCACGTTTGCTCAAACGTTTTCTAGAAGGAACTTTCTGGAGCAAAACTTGCCTTGTGTCTAGACCAGTGTTTGCCTGGGATTCAGGGTTTTCACAGTGTTCCTTCTGAGGGAGGATTTTTTCCTGAGCAAACCTGACTTCTTTCAATGTTGTATCTGGGACTTCTGGGACCCCACCCTGCAAGACATTGTTGGAGGTGGAGGACTGGGTACAATCCCTTGAGAATTCTTGCTCTTTCAGGCTGTGGGCTGGTTCTTCCTCTGGAATGTCAGACTTTGCAGTTTCCAGTGTAGTCTCCCACCCTGAAAGAAACCAAAAGGTGTGGATACCATAGACAGAATGTGCTAGGAAGTGCTGACTGTACAACACACATAACCAAATATTCAAAAGTCAGAAATTACTTTTCCAAGTACAGTCATGCAACCTGGGGGAACTGTGAAAAACAATGAAGCAGCAAAGAGGGGAAGCAGAGTCCTGCAACCTGGAGACAGACTGTGAATAACAGTGAAGCAGCAAAGAGAACAACACTAAGCTTGGTGAACAAGGGATGGGGAGAGGGTAGGGAGTGTTCTTCTAGCTCTCCAAGTTCCTGTCCTCAGGAGGATGGTAAATCAGTCTTTTATGGGGGTCTCACGCTCTCTGTCTATCCAGTGCTCCCACCCTCCAGGTCCACAGTTCCAGTTAAGCCCTGGATGGAACAAGGGACCTCTGAGGACATGCCCAGTCCTAATACTGGGCCCAGAGAAGGTAAGAGCCCCAACTTGGGGCCCCTGTGGCATACCAGCCCCGGGAGGGGTGGAATAGTGGGTGTGGCCTTACCCACAGATACCAGGTGCCCGAAGGTCTCCAGCATCACGTCGTGGTACTCACTCCTCTCTGTTGGGCCCAGCAGCCCCCACTCCTCCCGGGTGAAGTCCACGGCCACATCCTGGAAGGTCACTGGCTCCTGTAACATCATACGTGTCTGCTCAGTAGAAGGGTCAGGAAGTTGTCAACAGAGACAGAAGAAAGGCCAGCTGGGACATTCCCACAGAGCTCACTGTGCTAAGGATGCTCCTGCTTTGAGGATTTGCCCAGAAACACTGACTCAAGGCCCTTAAAAGATCCCCTCGGTCCATGCTCACAAACTGGAGTCTGGAGCCCAGGCTGGGAGGCAGAGCCCCTACTTCACAAAGGGTTACAGGTGAAACAAGCAAACCACGTCCATTCTACCCACACCCATATCTACCCTGCCCTTTACTGACAACTTCCTGAGAGCCTTCTCCTTTTATGAACAGTGCCTCCCCACTTGGTGAAACTGATGACCAAACCCTTAACTTTGTGGACAGGGGTAACCTGGGGTGGGGCAGTCACCCTGGCTGTGCCATGAGTGGTCCTTTGTGGGGCGTTAACCAGGACTCTGGGAAGAAGAGGGCCCCCCAACCCCACTTTACCTGGGTCTGGGAGGCAATCTGCCCATATGGGGCCAGAACCTGCCTAAGAAAAATGGGAGAAAGAAAAGCCACAAGACTCGAGTTGGTCAGAGAGATTCTTCCCATCTCCTGGGAGCACCTGGATGTAGCCTTGCCTGAAACCTACCCCAACTACATTAGAGCCAATAAATTAAGTTCTATGCTTGAGCCAGTATGTCACTCATAGTGCAAATAGCCCTGACCAATGCCACATACACACCATTGCCCCAGTGGTCTGCAAGACAGGGCCAATCCTGTCTCATCCATACCCCAGCTCTGAGTTATTGTGAAGCAAATCCTAGATTCTAGTGTTTCATTCATAAACACCTAACTATGTATTTCTGAAGGATGAGGGCTCTCTTGTTCTAAATGAATATAAACGTGGTCCACATGCCCCTGGCTGTGGTTGTTCCACTTAAGTGTCTGCAAATACTTGGTTGGGCCCTTCCCTCTTGCTTTGTGCCTTCTCAACTCCCAGGTCAGTGTGCCCCATCTCCAATAATGCCATGGTGGCTGGAGAACAGGGCTGTCCTACACGCTCAGGTTGCTTCAGAGCCCACCATAGTACCAAGAGCTCAGATGCTTGGAATGGCCTGGCCTGTGGGAAGCCTCAGGGATATCCGGGGTAGAGGAAGACACCTCAGGGGTGAGCTTGCCTCACTGGGGATGCTGTGACCAGAAAATGAAAGGGTAACGCTGCCTACTCACCTCAGGCAGCACCACCACTGGACAGATGGCTGCATCCTCCTCCTTCTCCTCTTGCTGAGCAGTAACCTCGGGGCCCTGAGCAGGCAGCACTGAGAGGAGACAACAGCACGAAGGGATCAGTGGGTGTGGTGACCCCTTGGGCAGGGCGAGGTCAACCTGTCTTTGCAACCCGTGGGGCCATCGCACATCTGCATCCTGCTGTGGCCTTGTGATGGTCTCTGCTCCTGCCCTTTCTTCTCACCAGTTCAGCTCCACCTACCTCTGGCTTCTCCTCACAGCATGTACCCAGATACCCATACTTGGACAGTCCAGGATGTGTCACCCTGAAGTGCACAGGGCACTGGTGTCACCACTGCTGAGACCCCTGGTCCCACTCCTTTCCTCTCCAAGGACTGTCTCGGGTTCAAGCCCTTCCTGTGAGTCAGCTCCTGTCTCCTCCCCAATAGCAAAACCCTCATTTCTGGCCTCCGATCTTTGCACCTGCCTGTTTGGACACCTATTTCTTTCCTCCCTCCCTCTCACTGCTGCATGGAGAGTGGGACTTCCCTCCACCCCAGAACATGCATCCATGTTGATGTGATCTTTATCAAATCTCCTCCACCTAGAAAACAACAGCCCTATCCAGTCCCATGGCCCCTCCCAACCATAGGTCCTTTATGTCTGCCTTTCCTCACGGGTTCCCCCCACATGCTCCACAGGCTTCCATAATGTTGACCCCACCCTATCAAGGGGTGCACATGACGTGACCCAGGCTGGCCCACCAGGCCATCTCTTCAGTGATTGGATCTGGGAAGAACACGGGCCCATAGCCAAACATTCAAAGCCAATGAAACTAATTTTTTTTAAACTTTTTTTTTTAAAGATGACCGGTAAGGGGATCTTAACCCTTGACTTGGTGTTGTCAGAGACATTCAAAGCCAATGAAACTAATTTTTTTTAAACTTTTTTTTTTAAAGATGACCGGTAAGGGGATCTGAACCCTTGACTTGGTGTTGTCAGCACCACACTCTCCCAAGTGAGCCACAGGCCGATGAAAGCCACTGATACTTTTGTTAAAAAACTTGGGAAGCAGAAATTTCACACTGGAAGGCCTCACAGCAAGACAGCCTGCCTATGAGTGAAGCCAATGGAGGGCAGCAGAGGTAAGATATGGTAGAGGAGTCCTGAGGACAGTATTGCAGCTCCTGGGTCTAGCTGTACCTGAAACTAGTTCACGCTACAGCTTTTTCAATAAATTCTCCTTTTCCTTCAAGTGATTCTGTGCAAGGCTTCGTGGCAGTCACACCCAAGAGTCTCAACTAACACACTGACCACAAAATGCAGAATTCCCTAGAAGACCTTGTCCTGTTGTCCTGTGTGATACTAACTGATTTCACTCATCTCTGAGATGTTAAAAATACAGGATCAATCACTGACTTTCATCTCATGAGCTCAACTGTCTCCTTGGCACCTGTATTAGTTTCCTATTGCTGCTCTAACAAATTGCCACAAACCCAGTGGCGCAAATTAACAGAAATTTATTATCGTATGGTTCTGGAGATCAGAAGTCTGGTATGTACCCTCGCTGGTCTAAAACCGAGGTGTCAGCAGGGCTGTGTTCCTTTTGGAACCTCTAGGGGAGAACCCATTACTTGCCTTTACCAGCTTCTAGAAGCCATCCAGAATATTTGGTTCATGGCCCCTTCCCTATATCATTACATCTGTCATTATGTCTCCATCTCTGACTTTGATCCTGACTCCTTCTCATAAGAATTTGTGATTACAACAGACCCACTCAATCCAGGATAATCTCCCCATTTCAAAATCCTTAATCACATCTGCAATCACATCCTTTTTGCCACGTAAGGTAACATATTCACAGGGTCCAGGAATTAGAGCATGGACACCCTTGGGAACAAGTATTCTGCCAATCACAGCACCACAGATTCAGTGCATCTGAAACAGAAAATTTGTGCTATTATCTGCCCCACTCCCTCCCCACACCTGCTTCTTCAGGAAGCCCTGTTCTCTTAGAATTCCACCACCCACCTGCAGGATTCCTTCCCTTTCCCCTCTTCAATCTCAAACATCAATCGTTCTCTCCCTCCAGAAACACCTAGGCACTCACTCATCAACAAGGAAAATGTAGGTGAGCAATGCAGTAGCATCCATGCTCCATGAAACTCAGCCTGACAAAGAAATCAAGTTTCCTGGAGACTCACTTCCAAATATACATCCCATATGTGTGTTCTCTCCCCAGCCTGCCACCACTGTCACTCCAACCCAAACTGCCACCCCTCTCAGTGGGCATGGCAACAGCTCCAGGGTGGCCAATGTGCTTCTGGTCTTGCCCTGTCCTCTGTTCACCATCCACTGCATGCTCAAGCTGATGAGTCTTTAAAGCTCAAATCAGATTGTGCCATCTGCTCCTAGAACTCAAAGACCGATTCCCACTGCTTTAGAATAACACTCTGTTGCTTTAGGACAACACATAAATCCCTACAAGGGTCCCTATGAGCTGTGCCCCTGCCCTCTGCTCCCTTCTACCATAAACCCACCCAATTTCTGATTTTTGCATGTACTGTGATCCCTTCCATCTTAGGCCCTCACGGATGATGCTCCCTCTGCTTAGCACATCCCTCTGCCCCCTTTCGTCACTTGGCCAAGTTCCACTCCATACCAGACATCAGCTGCAGAGACTCAACCTCCATAAGCCCCACCAGCAGCCTTGATTTCTTCTCAGACCCAGCACGGTCACATGCATATTCATTTGTCAAATCCTCTTCCCACTGGACTGCAGGCTCTGTGAGCTCAGGAGTCCCGCCTATCTTAGTTACCACTTTATTCATGGCCCGTACCATGTGCTAGAAGGCTCATGGTACAACAGGGATCCCAAAGGAATAAAAAATGAAGCACTTTATTTCTGAGCTCACTAAAGAATGCACTGCTATACCCCACCTGGGGGTTTCAGCAGCTCGGACTCAGGAACACTTGGGGGATATAGATGTTCTTGGTCTGGCCAGAGTGGTGGCACAATCCTTCCCCCATCCTCCCAGGAAGCCTGGAGTTCTCCCCCGACCAGGGCAGCGTCCTCCAAGACACCCTCACAGAGCTTCCACTGCACTCACCTTCCTCCTCAGATATCCAGGTCACATCCTCCACCAGGGCCACTGCCTTCTGGCAGTCCTCTGGGTGCTGCGACTCCACCCATGTCCGGAGCTTCCCAGGCAGTCCACTCAGGAACTGCTCCAGCACCAGCAGCTCCAGGATCTGCTCCTTGGAGTGAGCCTCGGGCTGTAGCCACTGATGACACAGCTCTCGAAGTTGGGCCAAGGCCTCCTGGGGACTCATCGTCTCCTCATAACGGAACTGCCGGAATCTCTGGTGAGCAGCCTCAGGATCAACCGTATACTTGTCCAGCTGTTGGGTTGGTTCTCCAAGGATGTCTGGACTCATGCCCCCACCTTCAGCATAAAGGGCCTCGATCTGGGCATTCCGAGGACCAGCCACCTCCTGGTTCAGTGTGAGGACCTCAACAACCTTGATCTTCATCAGGGGATTCTCAGCTGGAAGAGGATCCAATTGAGGTTCCAGCTGAGTCCCAAGACATTCTGTAAGTCAAAAGCAGAGAAACACAAATGGCCAATAAGCACATGAGAAAATTCTCAACATCATTACCTGCCAAGAAAATGCAGATCAAAACCACTCGTATAACTTCGTATAATGTATGCTATACGAAGTTATTACGTGTTACAAGGCTTGGCTCCTCTGCGGTTTCCTGTTTACAGACCTAACAGGTGTTGCAAACTGCTGGCGCCTGACTGGAGAAGTGAGTCAGCTCACAAGTGAGTCAGCTCGGGGTCAGGAGTGTCCCAGGGCCGGGTGAGGCCACGCTTGCAGCCCCAGGCAGACCAGGGGCACACTGGAGTTGCAAAATATAGCTGCTGTGTCACGCTTTTGATTCTCGGCCATTGCTAGTCACACTTTTTCTACGTTTAAAGTGATTTTTCTCCTTGATAAGATTGGGGGACGTAATTGGTTAGTAAAATTCTACCTGGAAAGGTTGTCAGCATAGCAGCAAGAAGAAAAAAATTCTACCTGGAAAGGAAATCAGTATGAACTTGAAGCCCCAGCAACTAATGCCCCCATGCTTCCACCCAGTTAATCTACTCCTGGTGAGGGAACTATGCAGAGATGAAGACAGATATTAATACAATGAATATATAGACAATGGCCAGACCAAATATATAATAGAACTTTGACACACTACATCTGTGGCAACAAGCCCAAAAGGTCAGGACTTGGTTAATGATTGCCAGTGTCCTTTTTTATTGGCCACCTCCCAGCCAATAACCTCCAGTCAGAACCTTCCCTTATAAATGTATAAATCTCCCCACTCACTAATTGCCTCTAAGTCTTTACAAAACACAAAGGGTAGTATCTAACTCCCTTGCTATAGCCAGCTCTAAGTAAACCTCCACCTGTCCTTATTTGGGTGGTCTTTATTTCCACAATATACAATCCCTGAACAACGTGGTGTATGTTGGCACAGTACCGGAAATACAAGAAGTGTTAGAAACACAGTTCAAAAAAGTTGTGAAGAACTCTGATGTAAGCAGTAAAACCTGTATTTGTTTTAGTGTGATTATTACAACGTAGAAAAGTTCCTGCCACGTAAAGAAATAAGAAGCAGGGCAAACAATTACTAATGTTGAGTAACTGCAGCTGTATTAAAGAAAAAAAAAAATCAATAAAAAGCGCCAGCTGCTTGCACAACCAACGTATCTGGATTTTTCTCAGTGGTTGCATCCTTCCAAAAACCTGCTAAATTTGTCATTACTTGCACTTATTAAACAGCGCTCAGAGGCTGGACTTTCAGACACTGCGTTCCAGGGGTTAGGTTATGGCTGGGGTGGACGATTCCTCTCGTTAGCGCTTTCTCCGCATGCTTCGCTTTCCCTACCAGCGACAAGGCGGAAACAGTTCCAACTTCCCCATAGCCATGCCCTGGCCCCTCCGAGCCCTGGAAAGACGTAGGGACGACTTCCCGCCAGGTCCGGAAGTCCGTCACGCGCCCACCAAACTACATCTCCCAAGATCCTCCGCGGCGAGACTTCCGGCGGCGCCATGTTGAGGCCGTGTGGACGGCCCCAGCTTGGTACCGACGGCAGCCGCCACGCAAGTAGCTGGGCACTCAGTCCGGTTTCCTCCGCTCTCTCCCCCCCGTGGTGGTGGATACGTTCTGGGTCGCGTCAGGAAAGGGTGCGGCACAGGTGTAGCCCAAGCTGCAAGTCTCCTTGCAACACGCGGGGTGGGGAAAGCGCCGTCCTTAGCGCTTAGTCCAAAAGCCAAGAGCATTCGGATTCCTAATCCCTTTCGTCCCCCAGCTTCTAAATTCCTCCCCTACTCCCTTAGGATACTCCCGCACCCCCTTTCCTGTGTTAGTTACAAGGCTTGGCTCCTCTGCGGTTTCCTGTTTACAGACCTAACAGGTGTTGCAAACTGCTGGCGCCTGACTGGAGAAGTGAGTCAGCTCACAAGTGAGTCAGCTCGGGGTCAGGAGTGGCCCAGGGCCGGGTGAGGCCACGCTTGCAGCCCCAGGCAGACCAGGGGCACACTGGAGTTGCAAAATATAGCTGCTGTGTCACGCTTTTGATTCTCGGCCATTGCTAGTCACACTTTTTCTACGTTTAAAGTGATTTTTCTCCTTGATAAGATTGGGGGACGTTCGAGCACCTGTTTCCAACCTCTTTCCCCCCAAATAAGCTTTTGTATTATTTTCATTTTGGGGGCTTGCCCTCCCTAACTCATTTATATCTGCCCTTATCTATAATATTTAATTCTCTTCCTTTTTCTTAGGAATTCTGGGAGTTTGCTTTCCCTCCGATAATTTTTGACTTGAAAGCAGTTTGTTTATTTTCTTTCAGTTAAAGCTCTGAATGCTTGAAATTTTCCTGAGAATAACTCGGGAAGCTAGGGATGGGAATTTACTGGAGGCTCACCAGCACGGGACTGTGTCTAGGATGTGGGACGTGCACCAAGTGAGCCTTTACTTCCTGGGGGCTGACAGCTAACTATACTGAACCGTAGACACCATTTTAACTAATCGTGCATGACACAAAAATATTTCTCCATAGCTTCCTAATTTCTAAAATTCTTTTTGTGTTTCCTTGAGATTTTTATTTCATGCTCCCCCCTCGGAAAACAGCTGTTGGGTTATTTTTATTCTACCCCACCCCCATCCCACTTCTAATTTACTTCTCCTTTAAACTTGATCATGTATTTACTTCCTCCTCTTCTCCTTGGGGGCACCGAGATGCTTTCTCAGAGTCTCGCATTGAATGCTCACTCAAAAATGTTAACTTTCTGTTTTAAGCTTTAGAGCCTGTCTCTGAGTCTTGGGTTTGGACATCAGGGACTCTGTGGCTCAGTCATATAGGGCACCGAGAGCCCGGTAAAATCTGCAGTCCCCCAAATCCACCCCCCTGCAACCCGTCTGTCCCACACACGTTCTGTACATAGTTATAAAGCACCTACTGAGTGCTATGCAACCAAGGACACTGCAGTGAATGAGACTCACCACAAGCCCAGAAACCGATAGGGAAATGATTGTCCAAGTCATTCTATGCACTTCAGTCCTCTAAATCTCAACCCATGGACCACTCCCAAACCCTTTAAGGTAATCTTTACCACTGTTTGTTCTAGGAAATTATTTGCTCCACTTCAAGGAGGAGAAAATTTTAAGTTCACTAGTGGCCAGAGGTGGAACTGGATTCTCACACCACCCAGGCCACAGCTGTGCTTCGCCCACCCATGTGGCACTGCATAATAATCCCTATCGGCTGGGGATCCAAGTACAGGCTTTCACCTCAGCAGCTGAACTACCATGGGGCAGTGTGTCCCCTCACCTGCAACTCACTATTCTATCTCCCCGCTCTCACACCCTTTCTCCTCTCTTCCCATCACTCCCTTCTTAGTTCTGCTGAGCACCTGTTGGATTGCCTTCTAAGTCAGTCTCGACCACTGGACCACTGAGCCTTCCAACTAGGTCTTGTGCATTCAAAACCCCAAAGTAGGGCCTAGAGGAGGATATGCCAAAGACTGTTGACCATCTTTAAGTCAGTCCCCTCCCCCCTTTTTTTGGTAGCTGGCTGGTATGGATCCAAACCCTTGACCTTGGTGTTATCAGTACCACGCTCTCCCAGTGAGCTAACTGGCCAATCCAGTCTTTGAATCAATGACAGTAGCTACTATTCCATGAAGGACTCTCAAGACCTTGGGTTTTACAACACCACAGTCCCAGTGAGCATCCAACCTTTCCTTACACAAAAGAAATCCATACTGTGAGAGGGAGAGGCTAGGAACCCTGTCCAAAGCAAGGGTGGCTGAGGTCCCCACACTGGAGAACAAAGGAGCTAGATTCCAAACTCTTCTTTCATGCTCCTTACACCAAAGGGGGCTTCCCAAAGCCACCATCTTTTCCTTAGATATACCCTCACATCCAGAGATATTCACACTTGCCACCCTCCTGCCTGATAAGTCTTCCCCCAACATCTTCACCTAGTTCACCTTCCCCATCCAGCCCTCAGCTCAAATGTCACCTCCTCAGAGCCACCTAGCTGCCAAGTTCTAAACTACTGCTGCCCACTCACATCTCCCCAGTCCCTCTAGTTAGAAACACTCACTTGCCGAAGGCAGTAGTAAGATGCAGTTGGTCAATCTGTGCTAAAAATGTTAATTTTCACATTTCCCCTAGGACCAATTTTGGAAATATAAAAACCTTTCCAGAAATCTCTCATTTTCTTTGTAGCGATGATTGCCATCTCCAAGTATCTGGTTCATTAATTTACTTATCACCTCTCTCACCCTCTCTAGAGTAGTACTGTCCAGTGGAACTTCCTGTGAATGAAATGTTCTAGATCTGCACTGTCCAACTTAGCACTAGCTGCAGGTGGCCAATGAGCATTTGAAAGGCGGCCAGTGCAACTGAGAAATTGAACGGGTAAATTCATATTTGATTTCATCAGCCACACATGCTAATGGCTGCTTCAAATGAATGTAGGCCCAACAAGAGCAGGGGCCTTACTGCCCTGTTCATTGCTGTGATGCAGCCCTAGTATCTGGCATCATGGCAGGTGCGTAAGCAATAACTCAACACAGCTTCTAAGTGACTTGGTGAAGGAAGATTTCTTCATCAAGACATTTGGGCCTTTTTAGCCTTCTGTCTGGACTTTCCCATATTTACCAAATTTGAGGAAATCTCATTGGCATTGTAATTGTATCCTGTCTATAAATTACCATGGGAGGATTGCTTCCACTACAAAGTTCCCAGCTCCCACTTGGGAGCCTGAGCAGTGGCTGGGAGTGCAGGCCGTGGGGTGAGAACACATGTGGTTTGTACCCCCACCTGCTTCTCTCCAGCCTGGTCCAGGTAAGGGACTCGCATTCCCGATCCCACTGGTAAAATGGCTCCAGCAGCATTTCTCCAGAGGCTGATGGCTGGGACTTAAAAAAGGGACTTATGTCTAGTCTTCCACATCCCAGCAACTGATAATTTTCTTCAAACAGGGCCTACTCATTCCTTGATAATTTAATCTTAGGTACCATTTTT